AAAAAAAAAAAAGTTCTTAGACATAAACCCAGGTAATCTCAGCCTGAGGGAACCAGGACAAATAAAATTGCCTGACCATGAAACATTTGCAACTGTCTATGTATGTGCATTCGGGCTCTGTGCTAGGCTGTCATCTGTCCTATGCTGGAAACAATGCCATTTCACACTGGGACAAAACTGTTCTCATTAAACCCATGCACGATACCTTGCTCCCAACGTTGTTTTTCTACTCCCTGATTTCTCCTACCCAAGGATCATTCATGTGGAAGGATGATTATCTTTCCTACATAACTTCCGTTTTTTTAAGATTTTATTTATTTATTTACTTGAGAGAGAGAGAGAACATGAGTGAGGGAGGGGCAGAGCAGAGGAAAAGTGAGAAGTGGACTCCCCACTGAACAGGGAGCCTGATGCGGGGCTCGATCCCAGGACCCCAGGATCATGACCTGAGCCGAAGGCAGACACTTAACCGACTGAGCCACTCAGGCACCCCTATTTGGGATGAGATGCTTCTCCGTACCATCCCCAAATGCCCAAGGGTCAGGAGGAAGAGGAAGGGAAGGGGGATGAGACCTAAAGCCCCAGTGACTATAGGGAGTTGAGGGGTTCAGAAGGAATGCACGGGTGTGCCAGTTGGGGATAAAGGGGTGGAGGATGTAGAGGTATCGATGGGGGACAATCAAAAGATTCAAGAGAGCCGAAGAAAACATCTAAGCTATAAAAAAGGATGAATAAGGATCAGGGGATGATGAGAACGGAAGTCTTAGATGAGCCAGGTTGGGGATTCCATGTTGCTAGAAATGCCCAATGAAGTCCCTCAGTGTCCTTAGGAGATGTTTGCCATTTCTGGAGATACTGAACTGATTTAGTGCCATAGTTGTAAAGCATAGTCAGTGACAGAAGAAAAGATGACAAACTACAGAATAAGATGACAAACTACCCATGGATTAATAGATAGTCAAACCAGAGAGAAAAAAGTTTGAAAAGAGGGGCGCCTGGGTGGCTCATTAGGTTGAGCTCCCAGCTCTTGATTTCGGCTCGGGTCCTGGGATGCAGCCCCACATCAGCCTCCCTGCTCAGTGGGGACTCTGCTTGTCTCTCCCTCTGCCTTTCACCCTGCTTGTGTTCTCTCTCAAATAAAAGAAAAAAAAAATCTTTAAAAGGAAAAAAAACTTGAAAAGAGCAGGGAAAGAGTTCAGCTTGCTCAATCTCCTTCCTCCTGAAGGAAAGGGGACCAGAGCAACTGCTTCTTTGAAAATCCATCCTCTTTAGGAACAAAACCATGTCTCAGAAGACTTCATATTGTTAATATGTCCAAACCCCCAAAGTGATGTACACATTCAATGCAATCCACGTTAAAATCCCAATGGCATTTTTGGCAGGAAGTAGAAAAAAAAATCATCCCTCAATTCATAACCCCAAGGAGCCAGAACAATCTAGAAATAGTAGAAGTGGGCAGCTTGTACTTCCCGATTTCAAAACATATTACTGAGCTACAGGAAACAAAAGAGTGAGGCCCTGGCATAGACACAGAGACACACATAGACCAAATGAACAGAACAGAGAGCCCCTAAATTTCAGAGCCTTCCACACATGGCCAAATGATCTTCCCCAGGGTGCCAATCCCACTCGAATGAGAAAGGACAGTCTCTTCAATGAAAAGTCTTGGGAAGACAGGATATCCACATACAAAGAAGGAATCCGGACCCTTCCTTTCCACCATACACAAAAATTAACTGAAAATAGATAATGCGTCTCAACAGAGAACCTAAGACCGTGACGCTGAGAGAGGAAAAGCGGAGAAAAGCTTCATGACATTGGACTTGGCAATGATGTCTGGGACATGACACCAAAAACACAGGCAACAAAACCAACGAGAAAACCGGGGCCATTTCAAGCTTACAGACTGTTGGCCCTCAGGAGAAACAATCAACTGAGTGAAGAGGGAACCTACATAATGGTAAAAGGATTTGCAATTCCTATGTCTATTAAGGGATTCAAATTGAAAAGATGTAAAGAAACTCTACAATTCACAACAACAAGGAAAACAAACTACCCAAGTAAACAATGGGCAAAATACTTGAAGAGGCATTTCTCCAAAGATACGCAATGGTCACCAAGCTTCTGAGAACAGGCTCAGCACCAGTAATCATTACAGAAAACAAATCAAAGAACAAAGACATATCATGTCACACCCGTTAGGATGGCCACTATCAACAATAACCAAAAGAACCCAAAACCCCAAAATCGTAAAACAACTTGTGTTGGGGAGGATCTGGAGGCACTGGAACCCTGGCCCCATGTCGGTGAAAATGTAAAATGGCCCATCGGCCGTGGAACACGGTGCAGAGTTTTCTCCAAATGAAGAAATAGACTTACCACATGATGGAGCAATCTCACTCCCGATGTTACATCCATAAGAATTGGAAGCAACGTTACAAAGGATACTTCCACATCCCTGTTCGTTGCAGTGTTCTTCTCCAGAGTCAAGCACCCACATGTCCACACACAGAGGAATGGATAAAGAACGTGTGGCATCTACATAACAGAATGTTATTCTATCTTAGAAAAGAAGGTAATTCTGGACCTTCTGCGAAGTGAAATGAACATGTCACAGAAAGACAAATACCCTATGATTCCTCTTATATGTGTATCTAAAGTAGTGACATTTCAAAAACGGAAAGAACTGTGGGGGCAGTGGGGCAGACGGGGAGGAAACACAGAGCTGTGGGTACAGATCCTCAGTCACAAAATGAACAGGTGCTATAGAGATGCGTTGTTCGGCAATGAGAATATATATACCCCTGCTGTAGTATACACTGGTTCATGGCTAATGGTAGTAAATATAATGTTATGTGTTTTTTACTATAATTTTTAACAGATTTCTTTAAGGGAGAAACCGGGGTAAAGAACCCTGGGGCCTTTGAAACCTTCCTGCGCCTTCAAAGAGGAAGTTCTGGGTGTGACAAATACAAAGTGTTGGTGGGTGAGGTTCATTTCCTGTTCTCAATCAGGCCATTTCACCCTAGATGGTTGCTTGTGGGGTCTCTGAGCCCCTCAAGAGCCCACAGTTGGGAAGAGGCTCAAAGCTCCAGTGATTATCGGGAGATAATCGGGAGATATCGGGAGAAGGGCCGGGCAGGGATGGAAACAGGGGTAGAGGAGGTAGCAGTGTGGAAGGGGGACAGATGAAGGGATTCAAGAAAGCTGAAGAATCGGGCGCCTGGGTGGCTCAGTTGGTTAAGCGACTGCCTTCGGCTCAGGTCATGATCCTGGAGTCCCTGGATCGGGTCCCACATCGGGCTCCCTG